CACTAAAATCTGAAATGTTTAAAACTGCTGTGGCTGCTTACTGGAATTAGGAATGCTACAACCTCTACGACGTTAGGCTATTCGAGAAGAAAATGTAACAAACGTCAGTTAAACTTTTATAATTCTAGATTCGCGTTCATAGCTTTTCCTTGAAGTAACCTATCACCCAGTGTCATATCTTTAAGATTTAGGTTTATGAGGTAGAATTTTGACTAAGACAAATTATAAAAGTACCTATCAAATTTTGAAGACATAATCCACCTACACGTACACTAAATGAATACCTACGTATTCAGTTTACTGAGCGATTTACATTGATACCTATTATTGAAAGTGGCTGTAACAAATTACTTTCCGTCCTCTTAACCATTAGGTATTAGGCCCAAAAATCATAAGCTGTAACATGAATGACAGACAACCAGATCCACTTAAACACTAAGGTAGATAGTATCTCAGAATTAAATAACAAACTGAGAAAATATTTTCATGTAATAGATAACGTTTCACGGCACTCCAACTCCCGTTCAGTCTAACTCTGCCGACTGGGAGGTGTATGTTAAATTAGCATAGTTCGATGGCCCACCGCGGCCAGACCTGTAATGAGAATTTACTGCTTTACGGATGCCCCCGACGCATTTAGATATTCGGGCACGTTCCCGTAATATGTTAGACAGTCAGACAATAAGTTGGGCCACGCTTGAGAGCAACGAGCAACTTATGTGAATAACTTGGTTAAGTTAGTAAACCCCTTTTTGTGTTAATGTGTTTCGTACTCGCTTGTTCGGGATTGAAAGAGTATGTTACGTGTTATATTTCTTTCATGTATGTAGTCTGTCCGATTTATTTATCAGTAGGTAGGTAATGTTATATTTTCTGAATATTATACTTAGATTTTCACTTAATATCCAGTTTAGTACCTATATCTAAATGCAGGCTCACTTCGTATTACTTTAAGAAAAATATTTTTATTTTTTATTAAATCAATGTTCGTGTCTGTAATAAGGACCGCAACGAGTTACGAATTAAAATTATAAGTACCTATAGTCCATCTGTTTAGGTAATTAACTAAAGGTAAACAAACAAAACCACGTGACACAGAGATACTTAACCTTCTATTACTTTAAATATTTCTCGTGTTTTAATTTAAACTAAATTCACTTTAAAATCGTTCATTTGTCACACACACACATACAAGAGCCTAGGCTATGGGTCTATTTCATTATCATGTTTAAAAAGAAACTATTCTGAATCTGATGTACGGATTTCTTTCTTGTACGGATATGTGTCTTTGGGCCAAGTTTCTTCAATATATTTGAAAACATTAATTACAAACGATGAATAACCTAAACTCAAATAACTTAATAACAAAAGCAAAACAAAGAAACAAGATAAATTCAACAAAATAGGAACGCGAGCGCAAACGACGAGAGAGCTGTCAATGGCGCCTGATTAACCGACTAAACGTAATACACGCTACTTTCATTGTCGCGCTACATGTTAATTGTAAGTACGCTTTAATTTGACAACATTATCTAATGCTTTGTTCTTAAAGAAAGGTTTTGGATACCTGATATTTTAGGCTCTTTATGGTGTCTATTGTAATGAAATATTATATTATTTAATAAATGTTATTAAATTATTATGCTCAAGCAGATATATATATATATAATATTTACTAAGAAATAAGTGAAAATGAACAGAAACATAACATTTAATAGAGAAAACTGTCGTAAAAATGGAAACAATTTTATTTTCTTATGTAGTATTTTGTGTCATGGAAATGTCAACTATAAAGAACTCTTTTTATGGTTTATTTACAAATAGTTAACTACCTAAACAGACGCGGAGTATAGTAAGTACCTAGTATGAAAACAATATGACAATTGATTTTTCTTGTCACAGTACCTACCATTTTTCCACAAAATATTACTACATCAATCAAAGATTGTTCCGGTTTCCGGCACCAAAAAGAGTAATAACATTTTGTCCAATTTCAACTGTCGATTCGATCCGCCACTTAGTCGCTGGATGAATATCGAGTGTAAGTATTTTGTATAAAGCCCTTGTATCTGTCAAATAAATAGGGAATTAAATTAAAAGGCGTCGATTAATTTAGCTTCTGGTGAAGGCAACAATAGCAGGTACCTAGGTACATGTTTAAAATACTAAACGATATCCAATTAAATAGATTTTCACAGCAATTTCAAATACAAATGCAGACTACTACGAAAAATTATCCAAGAACCGAGTAAACGCTTTTCCTTTATCTGTAGCTCTATTTAACTTGTGAAACTCGCACTTGACTTGCAGATTAGGTGTCCACAGTTTTTGAGATCAAAGTATAAACAGTAAACACAACTGAATTTAATAATGCAAGAAGGAAATACATTGAGGGCTCGTAACCAGGGCGTCACTTCAGTTTTACAACGCTTCTTTATAGGGGTTAACTCGTCGAGTACCGGTTTTGTAGACACAATTATAGAACAATAGGTTGCGGTCACCGGTGACCGCTTGGTATTTGACAGTTTAAGGAAGGTCCAAGTACTAAACCCGGTTAGCAAGGCTGAGAGTGATACGCCTTGAAATTGGTGAGTACCTCCACATAAGTATGCATAGATAGGAAGCCGATATTATCTTCGTTTTACTTTCGCGTTTACCTCCATCAACCTTCGTCCAACCCTACGTGCTCCCCTACGCTTATCGGCCGGCAATTTGACTGCACCCTTGTGTTACAAAAATTGAGGAACCGATATCTTACGGCCGCGTTAGGGTTTACACTTTGTAATGGAGTACTCCCGTAAATTCGATCCCGAAAGCTTTCCATTTGGGGAAGGCGTGATAGATAGGTATTAGGGGTGGTTTAGATACTGGGGTTTGAGGTATTGGACAGCATGTATAAGTGGCTTGAATAAACAAATGTCTAGCGGAGATGGGTGAATAACAAATAGCTTGGTAATTGTTTTGTTGTGTTTTGTGGGGAAAACTCCATTAATATAATGTGCGTGTGTTTTATCCGTTTTTGGATAGGGATTAAGAGGACACTGGGAACAGGAAAATTATACGCTTTTTTAAGTCGTGTACGGAAATGTTTTACCTTAAGCAATATTATGTTGTCCAATTAGGAATTTGGAATAAATCCTCTCTTTTTCCCTAACACTTTTGAAAGTGCCCACAGGATTATTAAAATTTCACTTTTGTAGAATCGAAATGCGTAAAATGTAATCTTAGATGACGTAATTATTTTATTTCACTGTAGTCTTTGCCTTCTACATGAAATATTGTCTCGCAAATAACTTATGTATGCGCATATTACTCAAGTCTTTCTTCTGGCCTTTTCCCAACTGGATTGGGGTCAACATCGCCTTGATATTCTAAATAATCTACTAAATGTCAGTATTTTAAGCAGTTTGTTATCTGCCCTTCAGCATGTCTAGGCTAAAATATATTTTTATTTATTAAGGCTGGAACAGAGCTACCTTAATGTTATTATAGGAACGTCCTTAGTAAGTAGGTGTTTAAAAGAAATCTTCTGTTCCCGTCCCCGGACACGGAATTATAATCATTATCACGTTGGTTATTTAAATTTGTCTATGGATTCAAGTGTACCTACTTAAATTCTTATAGCAAGACTACTTTTAGCTACTTGCTTTTTAACCAATTGGAACAGGTGGTACCATATTGCATTTTGTAAACACTCACTGGCCACAATTCTACACATATTTAGTTGTTGATAAAGTCCCCACAATTGAGAAAAACAAGTAGATAATTTATGAATGGAACCAAAGTCAACACCTCGTACAGAGCTGTTGCACTAACGGCCACCTCTGTCGTCATTCGACCAAGCTCTAAGACACGTCCCATATAAAACAAACTCTGAAATACATTGACCACACCACAAAAATGCAAATACCAAAAAACTTTAGCTATTGACCCTTCTTATACGAGCGAAAAACAAAAAGATAAAAGTGGAAAGAACAGCAATAAACAAGGTGTAAGTCAGACGAGGTCGCGAGTAAATATGCGCATACATGTAAAATGTATCACATGACGCGCCATTAGCCTCCCCAGGGATAATGATGCGTGAACCATGAAGACACTTGGCACTTTTTACTGAAAAATTGATAAGAATTTGTTGTTAAAGCGTGCCAAGTGAGTTGTAGATTAATTGACGTGCTTTTCCATATAGCTTTTTTTTTTTTTTTTTTTTAAGGGGGGAAAATCATCGAATGACTGCCCCCGCCTGGGTGAGGCGGGAGGGAGTGTCAGACTCTTACTGACTAAAAACCACCCCGTTCCTTCAGGTAGCAGTTTTTGATGCAGTAACCAGGAAAAGTTAAATTTCTACCGTCAATAACTCTGTTATGTAGGTATATCTACTCAGGTTACTACTACACACCTACATACATTTTCCTGCTAATGTGAAATTAAACAAGACTATCTCTCTATATCGATTCAATAGCTGATGTTTTGTTTTTCGCAACTCAATAAACAAACTACTTACTTACCCATATCATATTGAGACTATGCCTTCCCCTATACTTATTATACTCTTTGACTATGCCAAAAAGTAGGAGCTGACCACCATTCATAGTTTACGGCGCAGGGAAGTGATATCAAATTTTCAGATACATCTCCATAAATATGTAGTTAGGTATTTAAATATTACAGTGGGATAAGGACAGGAAGACGAAATAACAGTTTTATACTAACAAACAAATTAACACGGTTAGTGCGGTGGTTGGGCAAACCGGCTGCCATGCAACGTGTCGCGGGTTCGATTCCCGCATGGAACAACTCTTTGTGTGATCCACATTGTTGTTCTGGGTCTGGGTGTTGTTTGTTTGTAAACACACCCACGACACAGGAGAAAACACAAGTCTAGGGCAAAGTTTAAAAAAAATAATGTTTCAGTATGCAATAATGACACATAAGAAAGTCAGGAAAGGGACTGAATAATGCAAGAATATCGAATAGGTTAAATATACAAGAAAACGAAGATAAAAGAGTCATTTTCAATTTTTATTATATAGATACACATTTGCTTTTATAAAAATTGTCTAGTGAGACTATCTAACAATTAGTCCTAAGCAAATTCATACAATTACAATGCTTTATGAAATCATCATTGTTTATGTGGTTCGTAAATATTATCTAGATAAAATTCTATCATTGGGGAGTTGGCGCAGTTACAAAGACTAGTCCAATACCAATGAAAATTTCATAAAGCATTTCATCCTCCGGTGGAATTAAAAATAACTTTGATGACATTGAACCTTTCATTATTACAATATTTCATTAAGTATTATAAGTTATATAAGTATTTAAATTTATACATTCATAGTTTACGACATTATTTTGTTTACGGAATCATATATCAATATTGCTGTTAAATTAAATAACATTGACGGAATTAAGTATTTATGGCATAATTATACATGATTACTAAAAATAAATGTCTACATTCGGGTGGCATGCATAGGAAATATCAATATGTTTACAATTGCATGCATACATGCCAGAAACTGATCAATAAAACACCACATTTACTGCATCTGATGCAGTGTTTTCCCCTTTATTCATAATGTAGACACTTATAAACCATTTCATTTAAAATTAATGCTGCTCACATCTTGTAAATATAACATTTAATTTACCTAGATATATAAAAACAACAAGACTACAAGTTAGCCACCATATTGGCGTAACACACTTAATTTTCAGTTTGTAACTTTAAATTTTGACTAAAGATTGGGTGACCAGACTTGGCGGAACCAAGCTCTCTTTCAGTCAAATGAAGAAACAATGGGATTTCAAACAAAAGTATGTCACAGCTAGGGAAGCTTCGCAAAATCATAGATGGAGAAACATATTATGCATTATACATGAACGGACAATTCCATATGCAAAAATTTGTATAAGATATAAAAGATCACAATGTTCAGTAGGAGTGATTCGGAAAGCCACCTAGCCTGAGATTATGAGCGAAACGGCGAAACGGCACCTCGTCACCTCATTAATCTACCTGGAAGTGAAAATGTTAAAGTTTAATATTATGATGAATATTTCGCAAAGCAAATACTAGTTATCATCAGACACTTAAATGTAATATATACTTCTTTAACTATGTGGGAATATTTAGATTCAAAGACTTCTAATAAGAAACAATGGAATTCCAAGATTTGTTAGCTGAACCTTGATAGCTTAAGACATTATGTTCCCTACTATTATCATTTAGATTAGTCTAAATATCATTAGAAAAACTAATGTCCAGATCAAAACTACATCAT